CCGCAAACAAAAGGTGCAAAAATTAGTACACCATATCCGGATTTCGACAATTAATGTCTCTTCAGTGATGTTAGGAATCGAAACGGTATTTGGAAGGCCATATAATTTACCTCATTTTAGGATAGACTCTTGAATTTTGAAAGAGTCAAAATAGGATGAACGGATCATATAAACCCGAAGGCAAATATAATACAAGCCCAAACGAAAAAATATAAACAAGTCTAAATTGAAAACAACGTTCAAACCTATGATTGCGTTGTATAAAAACCGCAATTTCTATACGTGTGCATGCAAAACACATTTCTTGATAGAGGGGTCTAAATACAGCACAAACAACATTTTCCAAAAGACCAAAAAAGTGAAAAAGTATATTTTAACAAAACGCATTTGACTAACAGGTCGAACAACAGATGTTCTTAAACCCTGCTGACTGCCATTGGCGATTGCCAAATAAACGGATCACAAGATGTTACAAAATAGATCTTTAAAAATTTATAAATTTAATACCAAACAGAAAACAATAAACTTGCGGAAAAGATGGTATACCGCAAACAAAAGGTGCAAAAATTAGTACACCATATCCGGATTTCGACAATTAATGTCTCTTCAGTGATGTTAGGAATCGAAACGGTATTTGGAAGGCCATATAATTTACCTCATTTTAGGATAGACTCTTGAATTTTGAAAGAGTCAACATAGGATGAACGGATCATATAAACCCGAAGGCAAATATAATACAAGCCCAAACGAAAAAATATAAACAAGTCTAAATTGAAAACAACGTTCAAACCTATGATTGCGTTGGATAAAAACCGCAATTTCTATACGCGTGCATGCAAAACAAATTTCTTGATAGAGGGGTCTAAATACAGCACAAACAACATTTTCCAAAAGACCAAAAAAGTGAAAAAGTATATTTTAACAAAACGCATTTGACTAACAGGTCGAACAACAGATGTTCTTAAACCCTGCTGACTGCCATTGGCGATTGCCAAATAAACGGATCACAAGATGTTACAAAATAGATCTTTAAAAATTTATAAATTTAATACCAAACAGAAAACAATAAACTTGCGGAAAAGATGGTATACCGCAAACAAAAGGTGCAAAAATTAGTACACCATATCCGGATTTCGACAATTAATGTCTCTTCAGTGATGTTAGGAATCGAAACGGTATTTGGAAGGCCATATAATTTACCTCATTTTAGGATAGACTCTTGAATTTTGAAAGAGTCAAAATAGGATGAACGGATCATATAAACCCGAAGGCAAATATAATACAAGCCCAAACGAAAAAATATAAACAAGTCTAAATTGAAAACAACGTTCAAACCTATGATTGCGTTGGATAAAACCGCAATTTCTATACGTGTGCATGCAAAACAAATTTCTTGATAGAGGGGTCTAAATACAGCACAAACAACATTTTCCAAAAGACCAAAAAGTGAAAAAGTATATTTTAACAAAACGCATTTGACTAACAGGTCGAACAACAGATGTTCTTAAACCCTGCTGACTGCCATTGGCGATTGCCAAATAAAAGGATCACAAGATGATACAAAATAGATCTTTAAAAATTTATAAATTTAATACCAAACAGAAAACAATAAACTTGCGGAAAAGATGGTATACCGCAAACAAAAGGTGCAAAAATTAGTACACCATATCCGGATTTCGACAATTAATGTCTCTTCAGTGATGTTAGGAATCGAAACGGTATTTGGAAGGCCATATAATTTACCTCATTTTAGGATAGACTCTTGAATTTTGAAAGAGTCAAAATAGGATGAACGGATCATATAAACCCGAAGGCAAATATAATACAAGCCCAAACGAAAAAATATAAACAAGTCTAAATTGAAAACAACGTTCAAACCTATGATTGCGTTGGATAAAAACCGCAATTTCTATACGTGTGCATGCAAAACACATTTCTTGATAGAGGGGTCTAAATACAGCACAAACAACATTTTCCAAAAGAGCAAAAAAGTGAAAAAGTATATTTTAACAAAACGCATTTGACTAACAGGTCGAACAACAGATGTTCTTAAACCCTGCTGACTGCCATTGGCGATTGCCAAATAAACGGATCACAAGATGTTACAAAATAGATCTTTAAAAATTTATAAATTTAATACCAAACAGAAAACAATAAACTTGCGGAAACGATGGTATACCGCAAACAAAAGGTGCAAAAATTAGTACACCATATCCGGATTTCGACAATTAATGTCTCTTCAGTGATGTTAGGAATCGAAACGGTATTTGGAAGGCCATATAATTTACCTTATTTTAGGATAGACTCTTGAATTTTGAAAGAGTCAAAATAGGATGAACGGATCATATAAACCCGAAGTCAAATATAATACAAGCCCAAACGAAAAAATATAAACAAGTCTAAATTAAAAAACAACGTTCAAACCTATGATTGCGTTGGATAAAAACCGCAATTTCTATACGTGTGCATGCAAAAGAAATTTCTTGATAGAGGGGTCTAAATACAGCACAAACAACATTTTCCAAAAGACCAAAAAAGTGAAAAAGTATATTTTAATAAAACGCATTTGACTAACAGGTCGAACAACAGATGTTCTTAAACCCTGCTGACTGCCATTGGCGATTGCCAAATAAACGGATCACAAGATGTTACAAAATAGATGTTTAAAAATTTATAAATTTAATACCAAACAGAAAACAATAAACTTGCGGAAAAGATGGTATACCGCAAACAAAAGGTGCAAAAATTAGTACACCATATCCGGATTTCGACAATTAATGTCTCTTCAGTGATGTTAGGAATCGAAACGGTATTTGGAAGGCCATATAATTTACCTCATTTTAGGATAGACTCTTGAATTTTGAAAGAGTCAAAATAGGATGAACGGATCATATAAACCCGAAGGCAAATATAATACAAGCCCAAACGAAAAAATATAAACAAGTCTAAATTGAAAACAACGTTCAAACCTATGATTGCGTTTGATAAAAACCGCAATTTCTATACGTGTGCATGCAAAACACATTTCTTGATAGAGGGGTCTAAATACAGCACAAACAACATTTTCCAAAAGACCAAAAAAGTGAAAAAGTATATTTTAATAAAACGCATTTGACTAACAGGTCGAACAACAGATGTTCTTAAACCCTGCTGACTGCCATTGGCGATTGCCAAATAAACGGATCACAAGATGTTACAAAATAGATCTTTAAAAATTTATAAATTTAATACCAAACAGAAAACAATAAACTTGCGGAAAAGATGGTATACCGCAAACAAAAGGTGCAAAAATTAGTACACCATATCCGGATTTCGACAATTAATGTCTCTTCAGTGATGTTAGGAATCGAAACGGTATTTGGAAGGCCATATAATTTACCTCATTTTAGGATAGACTCTTGAATTTTGAAAGAGTCAAAATAGGATGAACGGATCATATAAACCCGAAGGCAAATATAATACAAGCCCAGACGAAAAAATATAAACAAGCCTAAATTGAAAACAACGTTCAAACCTATGATTGCGTTGGATAAAAACCGCAATTTCTATACGTGTGCATGCAAAAGAAATTTCTTGATAGAGGGGTCTAAATACAGCACAAACAACATTTTCCATATATATATATGTACAAGTCTAAATTGAAAACAACGTTCAAACCTATGATTGAGTTGGATAAAAACCACAATTTTTATACGTGTGCATGCAAAACGAATTTCTTGGTAGAGGGGTCTAAATACAGCACAAACAACATTTTCCAAAAGACCAAATGAGTGAAAAGGTATATTTTAACAAAACGCATTGTCGAACAACTGATGTTCTTAAACCCTGCTGACTGCCATTGGCGATTGCCAAATAAACGGATCACAAGATGTAACAAAACAGATCTTATTATTAAATTATTACCAGACAGAAAACAATATATATATATATATATATATATATATATATCTGCCTATGTGTAGTGACAACTGCAAATTATACATTGTCCATCTGATTTCTTATGATTAAGAAATACCAGGCTTTAGACGTTCATATTTAGGATATATGTATACATAATTCGTCTCAAATTTAGCCCAACAATGTTAGATCTTCAAATTTGGATGAGCACATTTTTGTTCTTCCCTCAGCGGTATTCGAACTCTTGCTTCTGTGACATCGTGTCAACACCGCCTGCACAGTGTCCAGCGCCCTAGACCACTCGACCACCTAGGCTACATATATGTGCATATACATTTGTATACTAAACTAAGTTCTCTATGCACCTTTTGTAACATATATAACGAACCCATAACGCATAATCGACAAGAAATATTTTTAAAACTCTTTAGCTGCTCATCAACTTTTGTATTAATTGCCGAAGTTTACAGGGTCGTGACCTTGATGATCAATCAACACAATCATGGTCCACGTGAAAAATAAGCGAGTTGATAGAGCAATGTTATGTCTTTTTTAATATTTTCCATGCGTTTCCATTTGTTAATTAGACTTTGCCATAACAGTTGTTAAATGATTTGGTGTATTCAATTGTTTTTTCAGAATCAGTTAACACTAACCTCACAGTGCACGTTTGTTTACATTCTTTAATAACGGGTTTCCCTCGCACTTGCGCTGTGCGGTTTCCGAAGTTCCATCGAGAGGTCGCGTGGTTAATGTCACTGCATACGGAAATGCTATCGGTGAATTAGAGTATGGAAAGAATATATCAGAATATTTCAAGAGTCTTCATATGCCCTTTTTGTTGTGTATTATTAATATCTTCGTGAGATAGATGATTGATGCTTGCTTTACGCCGCCTCGGCACAAAAAGACTATTTCAAGGCTATCTTAAAATAGGAAATACGATGTAATTTGGGTATGTTTTTTTGTCCTAATCAATTCTTAACAATTCTATTCATTACGTGTCTGACAATATTTTCGACTAACCGTGAGGTATCTTTTTAATTTTCCCTAATGTCAAATTGAATTGATAAATCTAAATGTCTTAAATATATGAATAGTACCTCGAATTCAGCACATTTACTTTTCCAATAATCTCGACATAATCTCTCATGCTGCAACACTTGATCAGAAATTACGACTAATTGCTTGAGTTTTTCTATTTTCCCATTTATGTCCTTTGCAAAGTCCTCTGATATTAGGTTGGCTATACCCATTATCGATCCTTCTAATTGTTGCCATCTGCGGCTAAATTTGTCATCCGTCATTTCTTGTATATCAGAATGATGAAAAATTTTATTTCTAATTTTGGTTATTGTTCTCATCCACACTTCAAGTCCTAATGCCTGCTTTCCACACCTCTTAATCAAATGGTTTGATAGTGTTATATCGAGAACTCTCACATTGACATTCTGTACTGCAGAATAACAGCAGATGCAATTTTGAGATAGTTTACCCCTGGTATATTTTTGATGATCCGATAAAGATTTGTTTTCATCACATTTATATAACATCTGAAACTGTTTTTCAGAAATAAGCTTTTCTTTTTTTATTTTCGTTATCTTACATTCACAGCATGGTGTTATTTTATATATATGGAAGATGCTGTATTTAGCTCTTATTGTGTTCAGATATGACTCAAAATTGTCCGATCCTATAACTTGCTCTTCTATGTACTTTCAAAGAACGATGTATGATACATCAACAATCAAGGCTACTAATTTGAAGTAGTTATTTCTTTGAGATGAGTGCTCCGAATCTACTTTAAAAAAAAAGATATAGCATTTAGTCACATCTATACAAGTAATATTAATCTTTTCACTACAATATTCCAGTTTATAGTTTTAAATGAGGCAGAAAATAGGAAAAATACTAAAGGCAGATTTAAATTCCGTTCGTCGAAGAGAAACTGACAATGCCGTAAAAACCGGAAAACGACCTTAAGACAATCAAGTTTTGAAAAATACATATAAAACTAAAGGCTGACCAACACGAATCCCGTAAAAAACGGGGTTGATTTCAGGTGCTCTGGTAGGGTTAGAAGATGCTGCTTCACAATTAAAACCTTTTGTGTTGCTCTTGTAAGAATATAATTAGACGGATTGCCTCCATCGGTGATGTCACAATCGGAGAAAATAGGACGGGGTCGTGGTTACGACAATTGGAACACATCCATTGTCATCCGTAACACAAATATACTATAACGCTTAACCAACTTGTGATGACTGCATCCTTTAACATTTTGGACCTTTGGTTCAATTGCTTCCTTGTAAGAGGTAAACTTTTATCAAATGAATCATGATATGAACAGCAGGGTCTGGAATATCGTATCAACTTTGAGATATGTACACTATATGCAGCTGGAATGTTTCACTATTGGAAAGTTGAACACATATCTTTTGTCGTAAGGTTTGGTTTTAACCAATCCTCGTTGTCAATTTGTAGATATGAGTCAAGATATGAGGCAGACTTAAACGTATATGTGGTATCCTTTATTTCAAAATCGATGGTCACCAAGCTTTGAACTAATGAGTGAGAGGACATATCTTTATAACGGAACGTGACTTAAATGTTGAGCCTCAGAAATTTTCTTTTAAATATTAAATTTTCCAACATTAACAATTCAAATAATCGCAATAGAAAGAGAAAGTCAATTGGACTGTTAGAATTGACAGTTTTGCTTATATAATCAGTTTCATAATAACAAACATATAAATATCTAATAATTGTCAAATCCAGTATGAAGTTAGGACACACTGTTTAACAAAAGTATGTTTAAAAGCTTATCAAAGATATCATACTTTAAATTTGGCACGCAAGAAGAAAAAAAAAGGCGAAAGATACCAAAGGGACATTCAAACCCATAAGTCGAAAATAAAACTGACAGCGCCATGACTAAAAAAAAAAAGACCAACAGACAAAAATAGTACACAAAACACAACATAGAAAACTAAAGACCGAGCAACACGAACCCCACCAAAAACTGGGGGTGATCTCAGGTGCTCCGGAAGGGTAAGCAGATCCTGCTCCACATGTGGCACCTGCGTTCTAAATAATTCAGCATTACATAGACTATAAATTTACAGAAATTGACCGTTTCATTGATATTTCATGTCAGCAGAGTGGCGCTAAAAACTGAGCTGGTGATATACTCAGAGACTTAACGTTAATCAGCAAGTGCATCGATCCAGTCGATTGTTGTAACTATTCATCAAAGATTACACGCAAATAATTTGATACCCCAGTGTTTAGTTTGGAAACGATTGCCTTAAAAGTAAACTAACAGTTAAATATAAACACCATACATTTGAAAAAAAGGTTAATTTCCGCTAAGAGAATAAGAATTTCGCATAGAAAAACTGCAATGTCTTTATTGTGGTTCACTTTTTCGACAATCAAGAAAATCCAGAAATACCATGTGTCTTCTCATTAAGTACCTCGTTTTCAGATTGTCTCTGGCATCTCCTTATTTTTATTTTGGATATGAGATCAAAGCACAGTAGTACAAAGTCTGGACAAATCATTACTGGATGAGCACAAAATGGACGTTCTTGGCTCGCACTTACCGGGTCAAGTGAACAATAAATGATAATCAATTATGTTTGAAACTGTCGTAGCAGTTTCAAATTTTTTCTATAGTATTTTTCATAACTATAAACTTACTGTTAAATACAAAATTCCGGACAAGAATGTGTACCACTTTAGATACTTTTGAAAAGATTATTGTCTGTTAGGAGATCCTACATTTGTATTACCAATCAACTAATTGAAAAGTCAAAACCATATTCCAATATATGTGAATTTAAAACTAGCTTCATCACTACACACAATTACATTCGTAACATTTTCTTCGATACAATGATGAGAAAACTAATCATATAGTTCAAAATAAGAAACAGAATATAACAAAGAGAAAAAAAATCATAATACGAAGAAAAATGGTCGGTACAATTAGCAGGGGAAGAAAAAGAACGACGAAAAGCCATATAACAGTTAAGACTGTGCAACACAAACACACCTATATATTTGTGGTGATCACAGATTCTTTGGAAGGGTAAGCTGATACATAAGTGTAGCTCATGATAAGTAAAACCGGAGATAATTACGAGCAGATTACACAATAAAATAAAAGATAGTCATTAAAATTAAATATGCTGTTCAATATTTTAGAAAAAAGTAAAATAACAAAAATACCGAACTCCGAGGAAAATCCAAAACGGAAAGTCCCTCAACAAATGACAGAGACTCATATATTGTCAATGGGTCAAATATAAAAATTAGTAGATTTAATGTGATTGTCGATGTGAAAATAATCCGCCAGATACCAGATGACGTGAATTAGTAAACAGCTATATACCTGGTTTACCCAACAACTTTTACATTGAAAAATAGAATTATGAGGGTTTTTTCTTCTATCAGTTGAAACGAAATATATTTACCATTTATAGCTTCTTTGCCCTGGTACTGGAAAACATACAAGACTAAACAATACCCTGCATATATACAAAACAACAATGTTATGATGAAAGGGAAATGCCATAAAAGGACTCCAGAAATAGATGCTAAACCGAAATATAAAATCATCTCCATATTGGAGATCAGGATCTGCAAGAAAAATAAGTCATCTTTAAATCCATAAATACCTATCTAAAATAATTTCTTTTAAAAATGTAAACACACTTTTAAAAGTATTAACATTCCATTTTCTTTTTCATATCTATTATCCTATCGTACCTCTTTTGTATGAGACATTGCAATGTGTTTCCTGCTAATTCAACTTAATTCATTCATAACACAAAAAACTTGAAAGAGATCGAGTAAGATTTTTTTCACAGGAAAAATGCATGATAAAATTGAAATAAGGCAGTTGTTTTTTGAAGTCCGTTTTTTGTGGTTTGTACATAATAATGTACGTGTTTTTACCTGAATAAGGGATAATCATGACAACACTACAGTTGTGGCTTCATTGCAAGCAAAAGTTTGAATAGTTCTGAATCAACAATAAGAAAATATATGAAAAATAACTTTACAAGACTTAACGGTTATAGTTATAGAATTTTCAGATGATGTTAAGATTTAAAAAAAAAACAGTTGAGACTAACATTTATTTACCAGTAACGCCATTGATCTTTTACATATATATAAAAAAGAAAATGTGGTATAATTGCCAATGAGACAACTCTCCACCAGAGACCAAATGATATAGAATTTAACAACTGTAGGTCGCCGTACAGCCTTCAACAATGAGCAATGACAAACGTAAAACAATTCAAACGAGAAAACTAACGGCCTGAGATTTATTTAAATAACAATGAACGAAATACAAATAAGATATACAGCAACACAATACAACCACTGAATTACAGGCTCCTGACTTGGGACAGGCACATGCAGAATGTGGCGGAGTTAAAAATGTTAGCGGGCGCCCAAACCCTCCCCTAACCTCGGACAGTGGTGTAACAGTACAACATATGAACAAACTATACAAGTTAAATATGGCTTAATGTAGAACCGTGAAGGTGAGTATGTATATGTATATAACAATAATATTAGTTTGTTTTGAATTTACTGATAACAAAATCATTATCTATAAAATATTCAATATTCAAAGATCTAATTACAGTGTTGAATTTGTAACCTTTTAGAATAAGTTTATTTAAAGGATCGATTAGTTTACCCGGGTCGTATCTAAATCTCCGGGCTTGGCAAACAACATTTCCGTAAAAATTACGATGTGCTATCCCGTTTGAAATAAGTTTTCTACAGGTACAGCCAAACTTACAAACCAAATCTTTGTATCTATGGAAGAATTTAGTAAAAGTTTTAAGTAATTTGTGGTAACGAAATCCCTAACTTAATAATTTACCAGTTATACATAGATTACGTTCATTTAAATCCAAAACGTCACTACAGACACGGGCATAGCGAACGAGTTGTGAAATATAAACACCGTAAGATGGTTCCAAAGGAACATCAGCATCAAAAAAAGGAAAATTAACAATAAGGAAAGAAAAATCGTCCCTTTTGTCGTAAATTTTAGTAAAGAGTTTCCCGTGTAAAACTTAAATATCTAATTCTAGGAAAGGACAGTTATTATCGTTTATATTTGATTTATTTAAAGTAAGTTCCTTTGTGTAAATTTCGGCAGTATTTAAAGAAAATTCTTAATTATTTAACCAAAAAATATCATCAAGATAACAATAAGTGTTTATGAATTTATCAATTCAATGCAATTTAGACGTGATCTTTACTGAGTTTGGTCATGAACTGTGTTTCATAACAGTACAAGAACAAGTCTGTTATTAAAGGGGCACAATTTGTACCCATAGGAATACCTACAACTTATTGATACACTTTATTGTCGAAACGTACATAAATGTTATCAAGGAGAAAATTAACCGTATGTTCTTATTACAATCATATATATATATATATATATATATCGAATTGGAAAATAGAAGTTAGATTATGTCTTTATAATTTGACAACTATTACCATGTTACATACCATTCATGTAAATTCTATTATTTTCTTTCCTTCAGTTCGACATCATTTGCAAAGAAATTAAATTTGACAAATAAGAAAAGAAAATGAAATGGAAAAAAAAATATTCCTATTATTTTACAGAAAAGTAAGTGACAGAAAAGAGACACAAGAAACAAAAGGATCATTGAAACTCGTAAGTCGAAAACAAACTGACAACGCCATGGCAAAAACCGAAAAACGACCAAAACACAAACAACTGTATACAAAACACAACATTGTAAACTAAAGACTGAGCAACACGAACACCAACAAAAACCAAGGCGATCTCAGGTGCTCTGGAAGGTTAAGCAGATCCCGTTGTGTTGCTTCTGTAAGTACAGACCCGATAAGTCTTATTTGGTAGGTCACATTTGAGGAAAAGAGTACGGGATTGTGGTTACGAAAGTTGCTTAAAACTGTTATCAAAACATTAACAATTGGAATGTTTTGGAAGCAGGATTTATTTGCTTGGTATGATGAGCTATCGACTTTTAAAAACGCAACTTTAATCTGCTCTGTCTTAGAGAAATAGAATTCACAAAATATTTAGTTGTAAGCTTAATTAACTTAGCCTACTTTGGGAAATTTTTTAGATGATTAATTAATAACAAAAAAGAATTATTCAAAATTCTTCACACGGATTAATAATAAACATGACAACTCTGATCTTAGTGATAATTCAAATGAAATGTGAAGAAATCCATCCTAATTAAAACATGGATTAATTTGGTTCGTGAACAGCCTAATACATCTTGATTATGTATAACTAAATAAAGGCCACAGTAGTATACCGCTATTCGAAATTCATAAGTCGATTGAGAAAAAAACAAATTAAAACTAAAATCGGGCCCAATTTTAGTCTAAAACATATTCGTTTCTTTCTTTCGTCTCCTTCTTATTAAATTATCACTGATCGTTAAAAATTCCATTTACTATCTTGTAGTGCTTCTTGAAGTGTCTTATCTATATCATTGTTAAAGAGAGAAAAATACGAAGAAAGCATAAAAAATATACTTAGTAGGTCAAATAAAAAACCCAACACCATGGTACAAAAGAAAGACCAACAGTTAACAACCAATAAACAGAAAACTAAAGATTGAGCATTCCAAACCCATTTAATAATGGGGATGACTTGTGTGATCCAGTAGGGAAGGCAGGTAGTGACACCCGTTGTATTACTCACTGCAGGTTAAAGCAACACTTCCACTTGCCATCAAATGGGTCTGCTCCTTATTAGGTTAAATATGAATAGCACATTAAAAGAAGATTGACCATGTTATTTATTGACTATGTTATTTAACATAAACACCTTAGATTCAGTAAAGATTTCCGTGTACTATGAACATATAGTCTTAGGCTGAACTTAACTGCAGAACTTGACAGGGCTGTGACACAGATATTGCATAACGGTCAACCACATCCTGATGACGTTCAGAAAACATTCATCTTTTTTTTAAGGTGATGTTGTTTTGGCCTCTTCTTACGGTGTGTATATTTCCCATCTCGTTCGCTGTATCTCGGTTACGTTGTTTATATCCAGGTAAACTGGTCCTCTGAATAAACTAATATCATTTGAACACCGTAGTAGGATCTTTGAACATTGTTTTGATCGGTACTAAAATTGATTGTGTTTTTGATAACTTAAAACAGACACGTAACTAAATATGTTTTGCTATACATATTTCAAAACTTATGCTCCTACATCGTGTCGAAATTAAGTACATTTCATATTTAGGCATTGCACAATGTCATGCTTTTCTCAGACTGCTTTTGACGTCTTTAATCTAAATCCGTTAGATGTGTACTGATTGAAACTTGAGTCTGGGAAAACATGATTTATTTATAAGTTGTTATTTGCTTTGAAATAACTTTCAATTACTGTGAGTACTCTTAGATAGGTACTTTGTGTCTTTTTCTTCATAATAGTTTCTTTTTGTATCTCGTGTGAAACAGACGAGTCAAGCCATTTCCAACGGATTTTTACAGTTCGTTCGATTGCCGTGTTATATCATCACTGTATCAGGTAAGAATCTATAAGGTATCAGTGATGCTCATTGTTGGAGGTTGTATGTTGATCGTTAAACAAATTATCACTGATCGTTAAAAAATGTCATAAATGGTCGTCAGTTGGACTCGTTGATTGTTGTTTCATTGGCAATTATATCACGTCTTCTTCTTTAAACCTCATATCATGTTCTTAGAATGAAATACATTAACAAATGTATTGAACTCATCAACTTATCTAGTGTATTTAATGACTCTAGCGTTCAAAACGTTATATCTCCTTGTTGTGATTATATTGTGTTAATATTATTCCGTACACGTATAAAAAAAAAATTACAATACAAGTTAATGTTTCATCTTTACGTCTGTTATATCATAATTCAGTGTAAAAAATGATGCTCCTTGTTTTAGATGTGATTCTTATGACCATGTTTAATATTATAGTGGACATCAACATCGTTCAGGACCGGGACGTAACTAGCATAATCTTTCTGATAATAACCAAAACAATGTTTTCCATCCAGAATAACAAGGAAAGTCAGCATTTTCTTATAGATAAACGTTCATCCTATAGGTGCTTACATCAATGAATTTGTATATTCATTTTAGGTACACTTTTCTATATATAAGTCCTCATATTTTCAGGTTTTTATACATCCTTGGCTTTCAAATAGTTTGTTTTGAGCATTCTCAATGAAGGTAAATCCAGATGGAAACTTATTTACTAGCCCTGGTCGATACCACTGCTGCTGAACTGTTAGTTCCCTGGGGTATCATGAGCTCAGAAGTCAGTGCTCCGGTACTGACATGATATAAAACACACTTTTCGTAAATTGTCAGTTGATAAATTAGGATGTTTTTTAAGAAACCAAGGTTCAAACAATTTAAGCAAAGTAGAAATTTGGCTATTATTTTAGTATGCCTTTTGGTCGTAAAGCTCATCATATTATTTAGGGTGTCAAATATTTTGCACATCAAATAAGAAATTAACATACACTTGTATAAAACGTAACAGTTTAAATAAGAAAATGTAAAAAATCCAAATGATCTGAGATCATATACGATAACCAAA